TTAAATTAAAATTATTAAAAAGTAAACAAAAAGAGTGTTTATCTATGAGTTGATTTGAGCTTTGCGGTTGGTGGGTATCGTTGATATGTGTGTGCTCATTTAGTCCCTTATCTTATCAAATTTAAAAATTTTAACCTTTTATTTTATACTTTAGTATTTTTAATTTCTTATCTTATTAAATTTGTAGGTTTTAATCCCTCACTTTATATTATATTATGATACTTTTAACCATCTATTTATTAAAAGTGAAAAAAATAGCTCTTATTTTGTAACATTTTAATAGTTCTGTTAGCTGACTGTTAACTTCGTTAGCTGATCGTTAACTTTGTTAGTTGACTGTTAACTTACAAAAATCTTCTTTCAGCTAACAGAGTTAACAGAACTAATTTTATAATATTTCGTTAATTTTTTTAATTAACTATTAATTAATTGTTAGTTGATAAAAACCTATTTTCAGTTAACAGAGTTAACAGTCAGTATAAAGTGAGTATTGTTTTATTTGATTTTAATATATGAGGGGTTAAAACCTATAAATCTAGTAAGATGAGGGGTTAAAAGTGTCATAATATAAGATGAGGGGCTAAAACCTTCAAATTTGATAAGATAAGGGATTAATAATAGGTTTTTGCCGTGCTTGTGCGGTTAAGGTAGAGTGGACTTGGGCGGATTTTGAGATTTTTGTCGGTAATTTTGGCAATTTTTGGAAAGCAATTTTCTTTTTCCTATGTTCAGTAATTTATTTATTTTTCCTGTAGATTAAAAATTCTTAAATAATTTTAACTTACCTCTATTGTTCTTTATAAAAATAAAAATAAGGTGAGGAATTAATTATATGTTTGGATTAAGGGGAAGAGAAGGGATAAAAATGTTTTTTAAGTAAGCACATTATAACTGTAAAAATGATGTAATTAATGCATTCTTAATATGTGTTTTATAAATAAAAATTAGGTAAATTTAAAAGATATATATATATGTATCACCTTTTTTGTCTTAAAATATGAAGTAAAACTTTTATTTTTTATTTTAAATTTATCATAAATTAATTATTATTTTTATTTTAAAATAAACATATATTTTTTTATTAATTTGTATAAAAAATCACAAAAGCTAATTTTATCTTCAATACTAATACCACATGTACTATTTTAATTAGATATTTAATAAAATTAAAGATAACTTTTAATTTTTTCATAATAATTAGTAAAAAAATATAATTAATATATTTTTAATTTATATTTTAAATACACATAATAAAAAAATTCATATTTTTTATGTGACATGATAAAAGATAACCTTCTCTCTTTTTTTATGCACCCCATCTGCATCCTTATGATTTCAACATAAAATCTTTTTAGTTTTACTACAAAGAAATCATCACTTTAAAGTTGTTGGCTTCTGGTATTTTTTATTTTCTTGGATGGTTATTAAAATAATAAATTTCAAAAGAAAAGAGATGATATTTTCTCATTAATACTTCTTTCCTCTCAAAATAATTATTGTGTCTTAAGTTTAAATTTGTTTAAATTAATTGTTATATTATCATATTTTGAGGTAAATAAATACTATTTTTTTACTATTTTAAACTTATCATTTATGATATTATCATATCATAAATTATCTCTTTTATCTTTAATTTTTTTAAGAGTTATATATATAAATACATAAATTATCTCTAAATCTTAAATTTTAAAAAACAAAAATAATAATTATGGTGGGATAAAAAAGTAATAAAGAAAAAGTTTAGTTTGGGTCCTCTTTTAATTTTCTACTCCCTCAATTCAACTTTAATTATTCTAAATTTTAATTAAGGTGTTTAAAATTAATTGTTCTAATTAAAAGTGTTATTTAAGTTGTTATTCCTATTTTACCTTTATTTAATTATATTACATATTTAAAGAGTAATAGTTGGGGATAACATTAATCTTTATTAATTAATTATTATATCTATATTTTATTAGACAAAGAAAAATTATTAAGATCAACTAAAGTTGAACAAAAGGAGTATTGTTTCTTGTTAGGTCAACTAGGTACCTAGGTTTTGTCATGTGACATTTTAGTTTGGTTTTTAAGGGGTGGAATTATTTAAAATTTTATTTTTCCATACCTTTGTAGTTTTGGTCCTTTGGTTTATTTTCGTTTAATTTCAGTCCTAGGTTTTTGTTTCTGGCACAGGTCACTAGGTTAATATGTCTCTAAAAATAGGAGTTTGGATTTAGTTTATTGGATTTCTTCAAAGCCCTTGGTAGTCAACTAGGGGGTAGGCAGCTTTGTCTTAATGATTGGATTATTGGTAGAGCTTTTAAGTAAGGTGAAACTTGTCCCGTAGCTGAAATGACACTTTATGATAGTAAAACGACATTTAATGAAATGTCCAGAAACTAAAACTTAACATGTTTTAAGTCATAAAATTTATTTATAATCAAATAATGACTTAATTTGATTAATGACTATTTTAATGTAAATAATGACTTAATTTGAAAATTTATCTTTCTCAAATTTCCCCTAAGGCTGACGCTCCCATGCATTACTCTTAGGGTTGAGGGCAATGGTGACGGGATTTCCTCCCTAGGGTTTCTCTTTGGCAAAGGAGTTCCTTCATTCTTACTTTTCTCTTACCCCTACCTTCCTCCTCTTGATCACTTCCTCCATCTTAGTCGATTGTCTTGCTTTGGAAACTTCAACCCATGGGACCACAAGGCAGTGGCATATTTAGGTCTACAGGTCGTGACTGGAATAACGAGGGAATTAATCTTGTCGGTGGATTGGGTTTCTCTTATTGAATGAGTAAGAACCTCACTTTGGCCC